GCAACAATGCCGTAAATAGACTCCAGAAAAGCTGGCGTGTTCGGCGCGAGTATGCCTACGCGTCGATAGCCATGCTTCAGGAAGTAGTAAGCAAGACCTCGGGCGCGATCAGCAAACTCAGCGTAGGAGCGCCGTAACACAGCACCATTCACTGTAATATGGAAGATGGCTTCCGCATCTGGTTCAATGGAAGCAGCACGCTCAAGAAATGTTGTTGGTGATAGGGTGTGGAAGTTGACAGGCGCCGTGGGATGAGGGCGGAGATGGTTGAGAATAGAGCGGATGCGAGATGGAGGATCTGACATTGTGAAGGTCGCGGATAAGGGTAGTGCTTAAAGACTTTAGAGCAATGATGGATCCTAACTAATGATCAGGTACTGGATGAGACCCGAGATATGAGGATCATAGGTCCTTTCATAGCTGTATCTCGGTGGGTGTCTCGGTTCAGCCCGGCAAACGCGGTACCAGCTCGGTTTCTCATATCCCAATTGCCCGGGCCATTCAATAGCGACGGATATTTGATTACTCGAAGCAGCTTAGTTCCCAATGAGCCAATGAATGAGTTACAGTTCCAGGCTGATCTTTCTAGTGTCTCTGTAAAGGCGGGGACCCCGCAAAACTAGGTGCGGTCGGAAGTAGACCAGTAGCCAAGCTACCAGGCAAGCCAGGGAAGCAGGAGATCGATCCACTGTTCATCAGGGTACTAAGGTAGGGGACCGTCTTCCAACTGAACTACAATGTCAGCAAAGGCATGCTTTAAAGCTTTGACTATCTATAAACGATGGAAATAAGTATATCCAGCGCATTGGGCTGACATGTGCCAATAGTTACCCGAAAATTGTTGGAGTAAAAGACTCATAATATTCCAAGTGCTGCCATTATTATATGCGAGTCGGAAGATAGGGAGGGCGACATGAAGACGATGTGAAAAAGGTGCAAGGAACTGGAGCTTAGCGGGAGTGTTAACTTCGAATATGTCCTTCCATATGGATACTGTGCTGTGTATGTCTGAAGTTAGGCGGTAAAGAAGGAATGCAGTAGTGATATATAACTTCATATGTATGTACAGTAAGAGAGCCAGACCTTTACAAAGGTGTCAAAATAAAATCAGCAAAAGATATCCTAAACTTGGTAAATATATCCTAAATTTATATAAAGTTACCTAAGCCTTTTTGTCATTTAGGATCAAGGTCCCGAGTTTTCTTTCCTCCCCTAGCCCGGTCAAACTTCGTGGGGTAACTAATCATAGTTCATCATGGTGGGGAATTGGCCTCATGTAAGTGGGTTACCATATACATACGCATCAAGGACAAGGAAACGAGTAGACCTGACGAGAAAGGAAACCATTCATTGACAATAACACAATACAAGCTGGGAGTCTATGGAGGGTAAAGCATGAGATGCTGAAGTGCAGCACTGATTTACATCAGTATATGTGTGCCAAAAGCGATCGACAAAAGACCTCATATCGGAACATTGGCATATATTGAAATAACATCAGAATGGCATCAACAGGGAGTCTCTTATATCAAGAGTGGAATTAGGTGGAAGTGATTTAGATACCTATTGTAGGTAGTCTGATGGACTGCCTCAGTCAAGTGAACACGGTATATGTGGCGGAAGTGGCTGACATTGTGGCTGGGTAGTTTCTTGAGTTCTCCACTCCTCCTGCAGGTCAATCCCCAGAACGGGGGGTCATCTTCATATGATTTGCTTATCATTTCTTTATCCATCGTCATTGTATTGCGTGTAATAGAAGCCCTCCATCATCATCCCTTTCATTGTATAGATATCTACTTGACATTCGTTTCTGCCACATCGGCGTTGCCTCTTTATTCCCCCCCCGTTAGTTACTATTTAATGCAAGTGGCAGCACGGATAGAAGGAGCAATTGTCCTGTGCTCTGTTACGTCTCGGTCTCAGCCAGCATCGGCTCTTTGAGACACGCTGTCTGTTGCATCGACATCATTTGTTCATGCGAACCTCTCACTCGAGCTATTGACATCCGCGGTACGTACTACGAGGCTCTAGGCGACGAGTTTGAACCCTCTTCCCGTATTTGTTTTCCCATACACTCCATAGTATCCCCAGAACATTGTGGAAGCTCATGATGATCATCTATAGCTCGAGCCAACGACTAATGGCGTCTCGCGACGCTTCCGAGGGCCCTTCGGCTCGTCCCTCTACCACACGCACCGTTTCTCACTCGCATACTCCTAAAACAGCTGCTCCTAATAGCGACGATCGATTAAAAGTCCCCAAACGAGCCCATACTTTTGCAAACACTACTTCGGCGAGAGAAGGCACAGGATCTCCCGATGCCTTCGACACTGCTGAGCATAGCGATTCAGACGATGGCATTGAAACCACTCGGGCTTCCATTGAGCTAGACATCCTTCCCATCGAACTTATAACCTTGACGGATAGGTATGCGCACCATGAAATGCTAGATCCTGACTGCACCATGCTAAGCTATGTATGAATAGCTTCATCGAGTCTCTGAATGCAAAGGTCCATCCGACTCCTCCTAATATTGAGAGATTATCGCAGAAGTTTCAGGAGTTTTATACGCAAGCCTCTGCTAACATCAACACCCATATCAACGCCCTTGCCTCAAGGCAAAGCCGCGACGTCTCTCCCGCACCATCCACCTCTTCAATATCCTCTGCCGCCAGTCGACTTCGATCAAAGGCCAGTGCGCTTACCAGGACCGAATCAGAGCAACAAATGATCACATCAGAAGAGCTAGCAAGCCGTAAAAGAACAAGGAAGGCTCTTGAAGCCAAGAGGTCTCTGCTTGAAGAGGCTGTCGAGCGTAGACTGTGTGAAGGGATCTACGACAAGATTTACAGACACCGAAGCACGCAGGATGAGGCCCAAGATGACAAACTACGCTCCAAGACTGCCGCTTTGGCCTTGGTCGGTATTGGGCCTGCTGACCTAGGCATTGACCTCACCGGCGAGACAGATGAATCGGAGGGAAAAGCTGGCCCAACAGTGGAAGATATTAAAGAGAAGCTGGAGCCCGCCAGACGAGATATTGCCTTGATGACACAGAAGCGATATCCACTGGGTAAGCTGAATCATCTCAAAGCTGCCCATCGAAGCATAGTCGACACCCTTGCTCATTTTCATCCCTCAGCATCTGCTGATGAGATTATGCCTATGCTTATCTACACTCTTATAACTCTGCCGCCAGAGAACCTACATGTCATTAGTGACGTTCACTTTGTACAGTATTTTCGATGGGAACCAAAGCTTACAGGCGAGGCTGCTTACTGTTTGACAAACCTTGAGGCTGCCATCAGCTTTTTGCAGACAGTGGATCTTGCAACACTCAGGGCGGACGAACAGCTTTCCGGTCCAGCAAAGAGCACAAGCCCAAGGACCGATACTTTTCCTCCCGCTTACCAGCAAGGAGAAGCGCCCTCATCAGCAAACGTGCCTGAAACAAGCAAGACTAAGGGCGAGGGGGCAAAATTTTCAGCCCCCGATGTCAAAGCATCCGTGGCATTGCGTAACCGCCGTCTGAGCGACCTTGTAAACGGGCCTGCGCAGGCCTTCGGGGCTGCTAGCGACGCGGTCTTTAACACGGCCGACCAGAGCTTGAAAAACATATCGAACAGCTTGGGAGATAGTTACAAATTCCTCGTAGGGAAGTTAAGGGAACATCAGGACAGCCCTCGAGAGTCTATCACAGTACCCAGGACTCTAGATGATGCCCGGAAACTTGTCAGCACGCCCTCCCCCGATGAGGAGGACAGTAGCGGGCTCAACAGACTCCTTGCACCCGATGACAATGATCTCTTGAAGCGCCCAGCCTCTCGCGAAGAACGAGTTCTGAATCTGATAGGAGGCCGCCGCGACCGCAGTGCTGATAGTGCTCGAAGTGGTCGCAGTGCAAGCTCTTCAAAGAAAGTATTGTTCGCTTCTGACGAACCCAAGGCACCCAGCCAAATTCCGGGGCAGAACCCTGCCGTTCTGGACCAGATGCGCAACTTGGGCAATTCCTTTAATCCTATGGCTCGACTTCCCAGTATCAGTATGATCCGTGGATTTGGGCGCAACACCCCATCGGCCCCTGCGACCCCAGCTGCTAGGGAGCCGTTGAAGCCCGCAGACGGTGGAGATTTAGGGACAGTATGTTGAAGACACGAACGTCAGACTGCCAGTAACTAAGGCTAACATACACCCAGGCATTCCCCGATATCGCCCCAGCTCTTCCACCTAAAGAGATTCCTAGAATTGCTCCGCCCAACAAACGCTTTATGGAGATACAGACTCCTGGGGAGCTTAAGCTGGGTGAAGTTCTTGACTTACTACGAGATTACCGTCGTTTGGCTGGCGCATTGAAGGATATTGGTGCTTTTGAGACCAAGTGAGAAGGGCCATCATATAATACAGACCTATACATAGATTCTCTAGACTTAATTAAACCTGGATGAAGTAATTGCATAGGAGTAGTGCATGTTCTATATGAAAAGCAAAACTGTAGTTATTGTTGTACTTGATGCAGAGAACGATTAAATGACAATGGTTTGCACCTAAGGTGGGATCGCCTTCTATTGGGCACTGATACTCTAATAAAGGCCATGACGATATGCAAGTCCCTGGACAAGATGAAGCGCCAGTGTGGTCTGGAACTTGCTATGCTACATAAAAGACCATGAATATGAAAACACCTTGGTCCAGCCTCTAGAACCATCATAAATTTGTGACATTCGTTTGGCTCGACATGAAAAAAGAAAAAGAAAAAAAAAAAAAAGCTTGCGCTATGACAATCGCCTTCCAAAAGCTCTATGTTCTTAAAACCCTGATGCTGAACGCCGTGAACCCTTTTGACATTTGAAATCGCTTTTTGTCTGGAAAATATGCAGTTTGTGAAAATGATGCATGAACAGAATACCCCTCTGAGAAGGACAATGAAGTCATTTAACAAAGTACAATGCCGTATCTGTCGCATGATCTGTAAAAGCAAGGTTTTGATTGTTGCCCGTCGTTTATGGCATCGGGTTGGTCTCAGCACGACGAGGACCACCACTATGAGACTCAATGGTTCGAAGAGGAGGAACATCGTCCTTCTCCTCTTCGAACACTGGCTCAGTATTGAATCGCGGGAAGTCCCGCAGGTTGTTAGAGTTGTTTGATGTTGCGCGTTTGTGGCCGTGTATCTCGTTGCTGGGGATTACGGGACCAGGATATAGAAATTGGGAGATGATGCGACTATTTGCTCGCTCACGTATACGGCCCATACTGCCACGTCGACCAGGTAAACCTGGACTAGTAGGCGGCTCCATGCCTGAGGTGGTTGCCATTGAGGCATTTGTCCTGGTGCGAACAAGAATTGGTTGGTTCTCCTCTGCTTCCTTCTGGAAACGTGCCTCACTGGGCAACAGAACGGCACGATCCAAACCATAAGGTAAGCCGCGGTGACGGCCACGGATTTGCATGGCAACGATGATAAGTTTCCCGACGACGGTGAACTGAGAGCACAGAGAAGCATTGACGTTGGGTACACCCATACTCAAACCCACAGTTCCGTACGCACTGATAACTTCGAAAAGAACATCAAATAAATTGAAGTCTTTTGCCTTGAGACTTTCACCTTCACTGATTGCGAGAAAGAAGAATCCCACAAAAACGTACCACAAGTCGAAAGAAAGTTGACGTCGCAGATGGGTACCAACGTAGTTTAGAGCGCTGGCCGATTCCTCTTCATCTTCGTCTTTCTTGTTGTGGTAAACTCCGAGAGACTTTTCTTCGTAGACGTTCGTTCGGCGGATGGAGATTGCGATTGGGAAGATCGAAATGTACATCATGATCATGTACAATACTGGAATGGCAGGGTGAAGGTCGCCAAGGCTGAAACATGAGAATCCTGCAGTTCTTGTAGAGGCAGCTTGAAATAGACCATCGGCAATACGAGTATGAACAGGTAGTTCAGCGACTGGGCCTGAATTAAGCTGGCGAAGGTTAGCATGCCGTAAATAAGAGGGGCCGACGAGCTGCTTACATCTAAGACCACAAAGAAAAGCAAGTCTATGGCATTCAATGCGGCAAGAATCCAAAATAGCCACCAATTAGCGCTCGAGGGGAATAGGAGAGTGAAACACCGGCGAGGATGGTCAAGAAGAAATCTAAGTTCTTCCCATAGGCCGGTCCCCTTAGGAACAATCTGAGCAAGAACCCAAATGACAAAACGGAGCATGACAGGAAAACCCGTGTTTCCAATGATAATGAAGAACCACATGATCATCATCACATACTCCGATGTATTGAAAGAGTTCATACTGTCAGGGGTTAGGGTCAGACCCAAGTCGTTGAATGCCGAGTTGGCTGTCCAAAATCCCCACCAGGTTCTTGAGATAGCGTTCCCTTCAACAATTCTCCCATATTTCTCATTATGAAGAATGAAAGGCAAAAGGAAGGTTACAGCAATGAGCTGGAACCCCCAAAAATAAGATAGTAAAATCAGTGCCAAAGTCCTCAGGGATCGATATTCGATGCCGCCAAGTTCCTCTCGCTGTTCCAGGGTCAAGCCCACAAAGTTAGAGTTTCGACCCATAGTCGGGGTGTAACTGAGGTACGGCATATCCTTCGTGTGGTCGTTTGACAAGGCCGACTTGATAGTATCGATTGTGCGTGTTCGGAAAGCACGGCCCATAGTGCTCTCGCTATCCTCATGCACCTCCTTCTGACCACGGTTGAACACACGAGGCTTGCGCACTCTAAGGGCATTAAGAGTGCCACCAACGGCTTTGGCATCATCAGTCAATTCGTGTTTGAGGGGACGTTTCGGCTCAGCAATAACGATGGTTGGTCTGCGGCCTGTTGGTGCCCTGGGGTCTAGTGTTGCGTGGTCTGACCTCGATTCCACAGTTCTCGTCATAGCAATGGTATTGTTATCATCATCACCGTCCTGGGTATCATCATTGTCAAGCCTTCGAGGTCCCATCCCCCGCTCGGTTTCTCGGGGACCAGGAATCCTTAGAATTTCGTTGTCCTGGTTTCTTTGACGCTCTAGGATAGCGATATGCTCCGCATGGCTTCTTCTTTGAGGAAATTTGGTCAAGTCGTCGTCGACTCCGTCACTTCTCTTGACCGTTTCAGCAAATTTAATACCTGTCGGCGCATTCTGTGACCTGCTGTGCCCTTCATTCGCTTCCTTGCCATCTCCAAAGCCTTGGTCAGGTTTCTCCAAAGGACTTAGCTCTATGCTGTTAGAACGGCCGGCTGAGACCGTGTCGCTTTCATCGCTGCTCGCAGGTGGTGGTTTATGTGGTAGATTTTCATCGTCATCATCGTCGGCGATCGCCTGGGATTGAATAACGTCATTTCCATCAAGCAGTATCCCGTCGTTCGTGATACGTGGAGGTCTCCCCTGGTAAGGCACAACCGTAATATGCCGACCATTGACTCCTTCTTCAGCTTCGCGGGCTTCACTTCGTGGACGAGTCTTGGCCTTAGAAAGTGTAGCACGGCGCTGTCTGGCGTCCGTCACCCACCCTTGAAACCTCTTCTCAAACCAGTAAAGACGTAGGAAGACTACTGAAGTATGTAGTGTGATTGGGTTAGACGTTATAGTAAAGAAGTAAACGACAATCTGTTGAAAGGTGTTGAGAAGGTTGACGTCGATTGGGTTTAATCCAGCTTGTGTATTGGCTCCGCTGGCGAACATAAGAGAATCGACATATGACGTTTGACCGCGACCAGCACCATATATAATGACGGAAGCTAACAAGGTTGCGCCAATGATCCATGTATCTAGGGGAAATGGTCAGACAGAGACTTGGCATTTGAAATGTGATGCCTGATGGAAAGCAAAGTGACAGCGCGTGGGGGTTGCGCTCAAGAAGGAAGCATGGGGGGTATCGAAGACCAATGGATGTGACTTACAATGAACGGAAATAAAGTTGAAGTGTGGTTTTTTGGACACAAACGGCGGCTTGACAGCTTTGAGCCGCGCCCATATAGAAGCGCGCGTCTCATCCAGCATGTCTTCCAAAGAAAACAGAAGTCCGTTGGCAACTTTTGTGATGTTAAGGAAGATGAGAAGGCAGAAACCTAGAAACAGGGAGAGAGGGCTTCCTGCGCTATTTGGGTTAAAGTTAGTCGCTGAGCTTAGGGACTAGACTGTGTCATGGCTAAAGACAATTATAGTTATGGCGTAAGAAGGCGGAGACTGGAGACTGAACAACGGAGGAGCGCGGGAACTGAACTGGCGATTTCCTACACACCACTCCCACTCAACACAGAAAGAGCAAGGTTTTCTTGCAATGCGTCGAGTATAAGAAATAGGAATGGTCCGGCGACTTGGTGCGGAGTGAGTCTCTGGGGCACCACCAGTGGCTAGGTAGGTGATTTCGATGTCCAGAAAACAGGGTGTGGCCTGGGCTAGACTTTGGTTAGAAACAACCTGGACTAGCTAACCATTCTCGGAATTGAGACCCGAATTGTTGAAGTTGTAGATAAAGAAGCATAGTGGTTTGATCGAGTCCTTTCAATAGATGGTGGGGATGAAGTTGGAAAAGGCAGACAGCAAATTACTTTGGCAGACGAAGAACTTTTCAACAAAGCAGGTAGGCAAGGTACCTAGAGGTAGGCACCTTATGGATACACCGAAGCGTACAGGCACTATAAGGTAGGCGCTAGGGTGTCAGGAAATTTTCTAGAGATAAGGAAGGAGGCAAGGCAATAAAAAGAACCATGAAAGTAGCCCTGGCAGCGGAAATGGAAGAAAGATAGTGGGAAAAGCCCCTGGCATTACCAACGCGCTACCTGAGATTCAAGGAAACGGACGCCAAAGATAATCCATATTTTTATCAATGCACTGTACTACTACAGCAACAATAGAAGCAACCGAGGAAAACAAAGATAGACGGCGGCGACTCGGAGTTCGCGATCCAACCACGAGGGGCCTGTTGATGATTTCAAGGGGCCCAGATATCCATGTCGTGATTGATCAGCCACAGCCATGCATGCATACATGCTCGCTCGCTCCCGACACTTGGCTCTACCATTACACACGGAAGAAGAATGGAAACGAGAAACCTCAATGCTACTGTACTCCGTACAGCCAGGCTACATGGCAGGGGGGTTTCACGAGACAGCCGACTCAACAAACTTGGATCATGGATGTGAGGTGAGCCAAGCCATGGACCGATATACCGGGTCCATAAACGATCCAGGCACCGTAGAGCATACACGCGGCATTGGCAGGGCTTGGGCCAGGACAGGGTTTGTTGGAAGCCCAGATGCTTGCAGATGGGGACACGGCGACGACGAGAGTACTGCAGACAGACTGAGGATGCCACCGCGGGACATGTTCCCCGGCACCGGTAGGCGTTCTCCCGTCTGGTCTTTACATTAGTGGCTCCATTCTGAAGCTGACTTTGTTGTCTCCAGTCATTGGTACTAACTAGGCTAGGGCACTTCAACACATAACTATGTATGAGTGAGCGGGCTGGGGGGAGACAGCGGAGCAGTGCGGAAACCAGTACGCATCAGTGGGTGAAAAGCTACCAAGAATATGCATGTGCTCCGTACAAACACTCTTTACCAGTAACTTCTCAGAGTGCCCGTCGGTTTATGGACAGAGGAGTGGGAAGGGTGGCAAAACCCGTTAAATCGCCCGTTGATCCCGCGACGGTTGGGCACCTTGTTCCTCCAACATCTCATATGATCAAGTAAAGCACCACTGATGAGGTTGCTAGACATACTCCGTGCTGTAATGCATTGTGAGTACTAAATCCTTTCCCCATGGCTACTAACGATCATCGTGCTCACACCACCACACGCATCACCCGATTAGGTATCCTTGTAACAAAGCCAACAACGTCACCGCGATTTGGGGCCGGCGAAGCATTGAACCCGGCGCAATCTAGGTAACTTGGGACCTCATTTCTAGTGGCAAGAACACTAATGACAGCTCAACGCAAACTGAGCAATTCACGGATTGGACCAGATAGATTCGTGCGTTGATTGAACATCTCAAATTTCTTTGTATCCAGACGAATTCTTTCAAGTTCCCTGAGGGCGTGAGCTTCTCCCGCGGGTGATAAAAGCCTGTCCTTGTCTGCTGTCTGTGTGTTGCACTGTTCTCGGGCCAATGGCACGTCACCCTAAGCAATCTCCAATTCCATGGATGCCAAGAAAATTCGGAGATCTGAGATACGGTTCTACATGTACATGGTGAAACCACTGACACGTGCTTTGCCCGAGTCAAACAAAGGGACAAGTGGAAGAAAGGGGTTTGGACTCGGCAATTGGGAACACAGTCAATCAAAACCAGTATAGGTACAGTAGGCCTGTATCTGTAGTTAGGGGCATTACCCATACTGCAATTGAGCTACAAGTATTATCCTTGACTCGCTGACTGGTACCCAGGCCCTGCCTCAAATATCGGGGCCGTTTCTCACGAGTGTTGGCAAAAAGGTGTGGCGAGCTATCGATTGTGATCCACTGGCTACCACCGAAACCGAGGAAATGGACAGTCTCCTCCCACCTGTTGATTACCACAACTATGCTATTGTCACCATATTCCGATACGATTAAATACCGCTGCGCCCTTCCGACACTACACTGGGATAAACTCCTCCAACAATGTGATGTCACCGCTCTTTGATCGCATGTCCACAGACCACTGCCCGATACCATGTTCATTGTTGAGACAAAAGCCCCTGCATGCGTACACGAGTGTGCTGCCCAGTAATCAATGGGGTTTGCGGAAGAATGAAACCTTTGACTTGACCTAACTTCCAGGAGGATGGGCAGTACGCACGAACAGGTCAATGCCTAATATCATGCAGCCTCTTTTCAAACAGGTCACGCAAATGAGATATGAGCAAGTTGCAAATCTAGACTGCACCATGCCACACCCACTTTCGCCGTCAAATCAAGACAGTACTGATTAGAAAACACCACAACACCAAAATACATGACAGAGTGTAGTTAGAATAAGCATCGTCAATTCTTTGTGTGAGGTTGCAACCAGCAATAACATCCAAGCCCTAGTACTGCCAAGCTTTTCTCCCCAGAAACTAAAGCAGTACTAGTTTAAAGAATCCCTACCTGGGACTCGTAGCTCTGACTCTAAAAAATACTTACTACTGCAGGTATCTGCTAATGATGGCCATTGGTGAGGTCGTATGGAGCCTTCAACTCACTCGTAAACCATCCTTCACATGGCATCATATTTGAAAGCCGTGTCACACAACTAAAACGTGGTGTGATATGTCACCCTGTGATGCCTAATCCGTTTACGTGATCTGTATAGGCTGGATTCTGCCTGTTAGCTAAGTAGTCTTCCTATTGCCATACATTCCCATGTCACCTGGATCTTTCGCCTCATGCGCTGCCGTCGCCTTAAGCTACGTGGAGTCAGTCAATTCACTCCAATAAGCCATCGCTTGCCCACTGCCAGAAATCTGATTGAATACCTGGTGTGTACGATGTGATTAGCTATGGCCGTGTTGTAGTTCTTCTTGAATGCCGAATCTTTCCCGTCCTTGTGTATTACTATGCGTTCTACAGATGCGTGATCTGCGGCTGTGTGTTCTTATACAGACGACATTTTGTATTTACCCGTGATTCCGATCCCCTGGCTTATCATTCTTTGGCTCATTCAATGTACCTCCACCCCCATTGTGCCGATTCCAACTGTCTTTCAATTACTGTGCTGCTGCTCGCCTGGCGTTCTCGCGTCCAATCTTCTTGAAGAAGGCATTGCTGTCCGCCTTCTTCCGCTTTGCCGATAACTTCTTATTCTGCTCGATATACGCCATGTCCTGGCCACCACTGAGCTCGCCGAGAGTTCCCGCTGTTCGTCGAGCTCCCTTCTTTTTCTTGCGTCCCATAGTACCCTGATGGAACATGTCGTCGTTCGGGTCATCCTCCTCCATGCTCTCATTCTCCACAAGAACCTTCTGTAACAGTTCACGCCGCTCCGACACATCTGCGAATGCTAGTCCGGGTGTCTTCTCGATGTTTGCTAATTGTGTAATGACCTTGAAAGCATATCCCTGATCGACGAGGAAAGCTTGACGTTTGGAAGAAAAATACATTTCTTGCGTGTCTTTTGACACCAGAGAGTAGAAAAAGGCATTGAAGCCCTCGTCATTACGCCTTTTGGCCCTAAGAATTCGTCCTAAACGCTGCGCTTCCTGGCGACGTGAACCATAGTGGGATGAAATTTGGATAAGGCAGGTAGCTTCGGGCAAATCGAGGGACGTGTCTCCAATCTTCGATAAAAAGAGCGTGTTGACGTTCGGATTGTGCTGAAAGTTCTCCAACACTTGCAGACGTTCTGCTTGACCAGTGCCACCATAGATGAACGCTTTTTGAAGCTTTAGCGCATATGCTTTGAGCGCATACACGTTATCCGAAAATACTATAATCTTGTCTCCTCTTGATTCGTGGTAATTAATGAGATATTGACAAGCCTGAAACTTCCGAGGGTTCATGATATAAAGTAAACCCTTCTTCCGGCTTGGTGCTTTGAGATACTGGTCGTAGAACTCTGTGGGCATTGGGCACCATACTTCTGCACACTGAACTCTAGCAATGTGTCCTTGCTTTGAAAGCTCCATCCAATTAGCTTCAAATAGCTTTGGTCCGATAAGAAAATTTAGATCAGAGATCTTGTCATCTTCTCTAAGAAGTGTGGCTGTGAGACCAAGCTTTGAATGAGTCTTGATCGAAGACGTGACTTTACGGAAGATGTTGGCAGGCACAACGTGCACCTCGTCCAGCAGCATCAGGCCCCATTCTCGACCTGTCAAGAACTTCATCATCTTCTCCGCATCGTAAGATCGGGCCCGCGATTGTGTGACCATTGCATAGGTCGTGACGATGATCCCAGTGCTTCCGGTGAAGACATTGTTCTTGGAATCGGATGTGAAGGCAACAATATCATCGGGATTGATGTTGGACCATTTCAAAAATTCATTCCTCCATTGCACAACGGACATTGAACTCGTGCATAGGACAATGACACCC